AAGGATGTTTAATATGCACCTCAAATTTAATACATATAGTGCATCTCTGACCAATCCCTGTCTTCACAAACCTGCTTTTGCACACTCTTCCCCATTTCAGGAAGTTACTACTCCATTATTCAAGTTACAGTCACCTTTGAAATCATTCTCCCACATCTCACTAAATACCTGATTTTTTTTTCCAAAGAAGCCAGAAATCTTAGTTTTATGTGAAATTATATAATCTTAGAACACTGGAGGTTGATTTTTTTTCTTTTTTTAAGGATACTATGTAAGGTAGACAAGCATATCTGTGGGACAAAAAGACATCTCCATGAGACAGACCCCTTGTGTCCTTTGTACTCACTCTCAGCAGCCTCTAAAAGGGTGAGCTGATTGTGATATGGAAGATCTTCCCTTGCACATGAGGACTGAGATGGGGTTTTGGAATAAGCAGCCGTAAGACCTGAGGACACATCATCTGACATAAGAGATTAGGGCAGATGTTCACGCTGAGGAATGTTCACCTGTACTCCAACAGGCATCACAAACAACAAGAAGAAAAACAAGACATCAGGGAAGCCACCACTTGATTGTTCTGTAACACTCGAGCCATGAAGGTTGGCGCCATGAAATGTACAGGATACACACGGCACATTCACACACTGTGCTCATCTCACTAAGCTCAGCTTTCTTAGTCATCTCTGCAGCCTTCACTCTCCATTCTAAAGGCCTGCCAACTGATGACCGAGTGGAACAACCAATGCAAAAACAAATTAAGAGTGACCTGAATTACAACAGTATCAGATAAAAAGAAATGAAAACAGAAAAATTATGAGTTCAATGACATTAGTCATAGAAATATCTGGAATCAAGGGGGTGCCATGGATCATAGGGAAACAATCAAATGAATATATAAGAACAACAGAATTTAGGACATTCAAGGTTCAATATCATTTTTTGGAAAATATTTATTTTATAAAGGCCTAGTAAGTTCTTAGTGAATAAGCCATATTCCTGAAAAAGAAATAATGTGTACAAGTATTCTCAGAAAAGCTTAAGGCAATAAATGAATATATTTTAGGTTTCTACATCTAGTTTCTGAGACTAGAACAGGGCAAATCCCAGATCATCTAAACTCAAGTAAGAGGATAAGTTAAATATTTATTTGGAAGAAATTTCCTAAGTTAATCCTCAATCAATTCACAGCAGTTGGAAGAAATACCAGAGAATTCTTTATCTTTGCTTTAGATCCATAGAATATGACATAAACAGCTTTTAATCAGTGGATGGAATAGAAAACGAAAATAAAACTAAATGACTGGTTTTAAGAAGACAAAAGAAATTTTGCCTAGTACCATGGCAAGTGAAATTCTACACTATATGGAAAACTAAATCTCCAATGAGAAAACTTAAAAGGAAGCAATATTTATCTAAAAACCTGTTTTCCAAACATTATGATAGATACTTTCAGGAAAATTTTTTCATTAAGAAACTCATTTATGAACTTCTTTTCTAAAACATGTATTACATATTAAGTAGATAAAAGCATTAGATATGCAACATTCATAGCTCAAATTCATATTAAATTTGTTTTATGTTATGCCATTCTTTTGTGAAAACTTCCTAAGATAGCAAAGGGTGTACTCTTCCAAAATATCCCAACCTCTAAGATACTGGGACATTTAAATACTGCCTTGGGGACCTTGTGGCACATGGTAGTTTGGAATTGGTAGGAAATTCTCAATTACTTTTTCCATGATGCTTAAATTGCTCTAAGTCACTCATGGGTTCTCATTCTACATGCCACCAACATACAATTTTAGGGAAGGCCAATGTGCAGAGGGCCCCTTGGTCCTGGAGATTACCAGGGTCCCAAGGCTATGCTGAGCCCAAGAATAGGGGCTTCAAATTCATGCTGAGCCCTTAGAAATCCACAGGGCAATTTGTGGAGTAGCCATGGTGGCTCAGATGTTCAGTGATAGGCTATTTCAGCTTAAAAGATTTGGAACAAATTTTACATTAACTTAAAACAAGAAGGAAATATAACTACCTGCCTTTTCAATTCTTCCCAATTGCAAGAAAAATGTAAGAAAGTGTCTCTAGAGAGGGACGTCTATCAGGAACACAAAGGTATTTCCTGGCAGAGGTAACTGAAAATGAGTCTTCTGATCTGCTTTCAACATTCTTAAGTAGGCGGCAATGGAGTGAGACAAGGCAGCACTGTGAGCAGTCCTCTCACAGAAATGTGGGGTTGACAGCCTGAGGGCAAGCTATGCAGAGGCAGCTCTAACCTCAGTGAGGCCATAGGCTGCGGACATCTGGCTCATGGACGGAGTTGCTCCCAACATCCCCAGAGTGTCATCTACTGTATGGAAAACAAGATTTCCAAAATTGGCATTTGTTTGTTGAGCCAAGGAGAAGAAACCATCCTAACAATATTGGTAATTTAGATCTCAAGCTGCTTTTCTGGGAAGTTAATTTAGGGTATATAAAAACTACTGGGTTCCCAAGAGAGGAGGTCAAGTTTCTAATAAATAAGTGTATTTCTTCCCTGCTCTCAAAAACAAAACGAAACTTAACTGTTTCACCTGCTACTTGTTCTCTTCTAAAATTAAGTGCAAGCAATGACTGCAAATCAGGCTAGGACTGAAAGCTAATGCTGTGGGGTAAATGCACTAATCAGGCTTTCTGCTCCAAAAGCTTCCTGGCTGTCACCCAGGCCTTGATTGTGTTAAATGCCAAAGGCCCACAGGTGCAGGTGTGCCTGCCTGATTGTGACACTTGGAGCATGGGTGTGCACACCTGAGCCTGGGGGGGGAGGGGAGGGATAAAGCAGCCGTAACAGCTATGGGCTACAGGGAGGAAAGAGAAAGCAAGGGAGAGGGCAAGGGAGGAGATGAGAATAGAGGGAGCCCAGACTAACAGCACAGACTCTTAAGATTCCTGGGGGGCTGGTTGGCTGGCGAACCTCCTTCCTTGCATGCAGCCTCCCTGCCTGGTGCGCCTGTGTACCTGGTTCCCTGAGAGAGCATTAAAGTCTGAAAAATCCACCCAGGGTTCAGGATCTCTCTCTATCTGTTTGCAGAGCTGATAGTGAACTTGCTCTGTGCACACTGGCACTAGAAATGAGTATTTAATTTTGGTAGTTAAAGTGAAAAGCAGACAATGTTCAAATGAACTACAGAGACACAGTTGCTAGACTCTGGGCACCACAATGCATTAAATATGTGAATTTTCAATTTGGGAACTGAGATCAACAGGGAGGATGTCAGAAACCCACACCCCAATATATTCATTCCAGGACAGATGCTCAGTGCAGAGTTGAGTGCAAGAGTGGGTAGAATTGCTCATATTACTAACAATTCATTTTTCCTTTGTACTCATTGTTTTAACTGCTCAAAGTAATGAATCTAGTGATTAAACAACTGCCCTATTACAGACCTACAGTTCTAGGGAGTAGAGCTATCCTGGTTTGCAGAAACACTGTTCAAACTGGCAGGGTTAATTATGGGGCAATAAATATTGCAGAGATACAGGCCCACATGGCCAAGGAACAAGGGTTTATTTTTTACAAGGCCAAGGACTGTGAAGCAAAATTAATGCTTCTCCTATTCCATCCCCTGAAAGTAGAACCGTGTTCTACTTAAGACTTTACTAGAAACACAATTGGTATGTTTGCAGGCATTATGATTTCATTACAGAAAAGGAACAGAATGAAGAAGCTGTAATGTGTCAAGAGACCTAAGCCTAAAAACACTCAGGGAGGAGAGAACACAAGACACATTGCTTCTTTATCTGAGGGGTGTTGGCAGAAAAGAATAAAAGAAAACATTTCTGTCACAAAAAGCCAGGCTGCTTATTTCTATGGTACAAGGCTTTTGGAGAGGACTTTAGATAGTAAAATATGAATGGAGGACCCTTTTTGTGTCCGCTCACTCAGGATGCTCAGACAGGCAGACTGGAGTGCAGGCCCAATTCAGTGAGGAGCTTTGCTGCTCACAGCTGGGATCAGCCTGACAGCTTGGCTTCTGTTCAAGAGAACTGCCTCAGCACAAATGAGTCAGCTGCTAAAGAACAGGACCCAGGCCCTGACAGAGACAGGAGCACCACAACCAGGCTGTGCCAGCTGCTGAGTTAGACCATCCCAAGGATAAAGCCAAATGAGTGCATTGCCAAAACAACACTGCACCAAGCACTTTATTGTCATAACAATCCTGTGAGGTAGGTATTAACTTTCTTCCTGCTTTGTATATGAAATAAGGCAGAGTGCCTAAGTTATACAGTAGATAAGTAGTAAAGTGAGGACACTGGCCCCACCTTGCTGGCTTCAGAGATTACTATTATTGCTATACTTCTCAAACAAAGGAGACCAACAAGGTAACATTTACTGAATGCCTAAGGGGAGGGAGGCCAGGCCCTCTACTAACACTTCACAGGATTCCCTCCCTTAATGTGGACAACCTTTGGAGACTTGCCAGGGAGGTCAGTTACTAACCCGACATACACTGAATGATAAATTCAGTAGCCAGTAACCTTCCAGGAAGTGGCTAGTCCAGGGTGTAAACTGAGGTGGTCAGCTCCATAGCCCCCATTCCTAACCCCACCCCACACTGCTGCAGCCAGCATCTTGGTGAAGCCCCACACTAGTGGAGGGAGCCACTGACACCTCAGCACTGCAGCTCAGCAGCCAGTCAGAGGCAGAAGCTGGGCCTGTACCCAGTCTGTGTTCTTGACTGTGACATACAGATGATTTATCAGAGGGTCAGGCACTCCAGGAATGACAGGAACCTTTCCCAAGCTAAGGCTGCAGCTAAGCCCCTTTGGGTTACTGCAAACAAAGTGACCCAGAAAATCAAGGCTTCTCCCATCACAGACTTGTTTCTCACAAGAGAAAGACTTCCCTCAGATGACCTGTTATCACCCTCAGAATGACAATAAGGCATCCAAAGGCACCCCAAAATATTAAACTCCACCCCCTTACTCCCATCCCCAAGAACATTTAAGCCATTTGCACTTACGCTTTAAATGCTGGGAGGTAGGAGTATATAGAAATACTGCTTAGGTTATAAATAAATGGCAGGTGTTTTCTGATATCTGTTGTTGCCCAGTTGCTAAAAAATGTGTTCAGTAAACCCTGGTCCCCACCTGAAAGAAAAAAAATGAAATAGTCACAGACTTCATGGAAATTTCAGTTCTTTTTTTTTTTTTTTAGAAATATAGTACTGGACCTTTAAAAACAAATACTAATCCTATTTTAAAGATAAATGCTGTATTAAACAGTATAGGGGATGATTATTTCCCTGAGTTAATTCAACAAATATTTATTGAGCAACTAGTTTGTGCTAGACACTGTATCAGGCACTGGAAAGTGGTCAGTAAACAGATACATGGTCCCCACCTTTATGAGGATCTGGGTAGGATTGGAAGAGCAGTCAATCAATAATCACAGATAAATGAAGAACATAATTAGGGCCATATTCTTAAAAACCACTGCCCCAGGGGCAACTTTTACTCTCCCCTCCCCCTACATTCTTGTGCATTCCTGTATAGATAAGGTGTAAAGGGCCAATCGCCTTGGCCAAAAGCCAAGCTCATCATATATAGAAAACCATGTAAAAGTCAGTCAAACCAATCACTAGCTACCCCTTTGTCCTGAGGCCTGTGAAGCCAAAAAGGGACTATATAATCTGCTCTTCCCTTTTTTCTGGGCCCTTCCTGCCACTCAGGTGCCTCTGGTGTGCAGTTAGGCCCAAGCTCGAGCTTGCAGTAAAGTTTCCTTGTGTCTTTAGAGTGGTGTGGCTGGCTTTTTCTGGGTAGTGCATCCCATTCTGGCATAACAATAAACATGGCAATGGAGATAAGGGTATGAAAAAAGTACAGGGTATTCTTGAGACCATGTGGAAACGGCTACAGATCTCATCTGATGGTTCAAGATAGATTCTATGAGAAAATTTAATCCAAGACCTAAGGGGAATATTTGACAATGCAGGTAGAGAGAAGGTTCCATATACTGTTCAGGCAGAACAAATAGAACACTTCACAGGCCTGGTGTGGGCAGGAACAGGGCCCTGGGGAAAGAAGACTAGAAGGTGGCAGATGTAGTGGAGAATAGGGGGCATGGATCACAGTGGGCTCAGGTTTCAGATTTTATCCCCAGTTAAATATATGAGACTTTATGTTAAAGAGCAGTGGCACAGAAAATATACAAAAAAGCAAATGAGGACAAACAGGGATACTGAAGTTATTTTCTGGGTCTCCCAACTGTTAGCTTACTAACAGAAGGCCTCATCACCCAGCGGTGCACTCTCCTGTCCCACAACTACGTCTATGGATAGGTCTGGGCCAGTCATCACTGAACCAACATGTGCCACAATGTACAGTAGTGCTCAGCCCTTAGGGTTTCTGGACATAATGTCTTCCTCAGAAAGTGAGGATGATGCCATTCATTCAAAAGAAATAAAAACAAACAAAAAATCAAAATAGCTGAGAATCTGACCTAAATCATAAACACATGAATAACCAAATAGGGCACTGTCTCCTCAAAACAGTCTTCCATGTAACCCATGAGCTTTCTGTTTAAGATTCATGAAATTTCAGAGAATATGGTTCAAAGCAAGGTCATCTTTGTGCTTCTGTGTACATGGGATGGCAGACAAAGGAATTCTGCCCTTTCTCTGTGCAAGGCTGACATACTTTACTTTTCTCTTCATTCTGCTTTGCCCCGAGACTCAGTTTCTTTTTTAAACATATAGTAGGTCTAACTGGCTGTCATTACTGTTCCGTTTCTCTTGGTTTTGTTGGAAACTGAAACTATGGAAATGTAGTCACTATTTGGAGTTCAACAGGGCATTAGGTTTAAAGTGGAAATGTACCTTAGCCATCCTCTGCATATCCTTTTTTTCCCCAAATATACTCAAACAACTCTAAGAATCAAAGGTATTCAATGAACATTCATGGAAAACTACTCTGAACAAGGAGGCTCTGACAGGCCCCCATTCCTCAAGAGACAAACAGCCCAACAGAAAATTGGGTTTTACCCTTGTAAGTTCCAAAGGACAATTAAAACAGCATTAGGATATGCTTTACTTGTTAAATGAACAAAAGAATTTATCTATATAGACAAATTAATGTATCTCGAGACACAAATATTAAAGCTAAACACCATACCGTGATCAGTTACTTATAGTCTATAAAGATAAGCCAAACATGGACAGACACTGGGAGTTGATGTGTAGAAGCCTGGTCTTGCTTGACTTCATTTTACACAAAATCACCACAGTGAAAGTTGAGGAAATGTTCATAGTGCTTTTATTCATCAGAGTGGAAAACTGGAAACAGCCCAAAGGTTCTTCATCAAGAGTATGAATATGGCCCCTCCGTACAATGAAGTACTACTTGGTACAAAAGGGAGTATTAATACCGCAGAATATGGATGGATCACAGAAGAATTACACTAAGTAATTTTTAATTTTTTTATATATATATGTATTTTATTTTTTTACATCACCCTTCATTTTGTGCATTTTTCCACCTCATTTGTAATCCCATATCAATTCTTAAAAAAAAAAGTCCATTGGTTACAAATGATGGTACCAAATTTGAATACCACTGTTCACATGATAAAAATCAGAGGAACAGAGAACAGTCATGTTTGTCAGGGAATTGGAGAAGGAGGTGCCCATAGCTACAAAAGTTTAGCACAAGGGAACCTCTGATAGAACTAATCCGTATGCTGGATGTGGTGGTGATTCCAATCTCTATGCTTAATCAAACTGCATAAAACCACATACATAACACGCACACCTATGAATACATGTAAAATTGGTAAAATCTAAATAAGGCTGGTGAACTGTATCAATGTCAATTTCCTGGTGGTAGAATTATAGTTAGGCCAGATATTACCACTGAGGGAAACTTGGTATTGCCTATGTAGGATCTCTTTATTTTTTCTTACAACTACATGTAGGTCTAGGTTTCTCCAAATAACTATTTTACAAGTCTGAGAATTCATGTGGTTAAAGTGCAAAACAGAATATAGAACTGTGGGTCATTAGATTCTAAATTCCACAGAGACAGGGATTATGGCTCTTTATTTACCACTGTAATTTTAGCATATTTACCACTATAAATTTAGCATGTTTCTGCTATAATTTAGCTTTATATATGTAAATTGTGTATGAATGAATACATGAAGCTTGAAGACTTTACAACATCAGAAAAGTTGAAACAACTTAAATATTTTACCAGAAAGAAGTGGTTATTATCACTGTGATACTAAGGGGATTATTATTCATTCATTAAACTAACAACTATAAACTATAAAAAAAGAAAAAGAAACTATCTGCCCACTATGTAACATAAAGATATAAAGTAACAAACATTGTGATGTAACTAAAAACATCCACACTGTAAGAAAATAAATAAAACAATAGTAATAGGGAACATGTTCTCTCCCCTTGATATCTCTTAATATTGTTATTTTTATAACTTAAAGTATTAACACAATTGGTGCTAAGAGGCCTGTGCTTATATCTTTTCTTTCTAAACAGTCTCCATTTTTATGTGGTTATTAATTTTACTATGAAATATGCCGTCAAATATATTCATGCCGATTATAAATCATCTTAACAATATCCATATTGTTAACTCCACCTCCAGTTTAAGAAAATGAACACGACCAATACTGTTTTAGTCTGTTTGGGATCCCCCATCCAATCCCACTGTCCTTTCCCTGAGAAATAACACTAATCATGAATTTTACTCCCAGACAAGAAAATGTATTTCACTTGTTTTTGAACTTTTTGTAAAGTGGGCATCATATATTTTTTCTATTTTTCTATTTATATTTTTTCTAATTTCCCATATATATTTTTTCTATTACTTGCTTTAATGCCATATTACAAGATCATTTTTAAATTACATAAAATTACTGATAAATGTAATGCAACAAAAAGAAAATCTACTTCTATAAAGAGTAGGAAAAAAGTAACTGTAAAGTGGAACTTCCTAGTTCAACAGGGCAAATCTGGGAAACAGGAGTCGGTGCTAGAGAACCCTTCAAACTCCTAGACAGCTGCCTCTAGCCACAAAAAGCCAGTCTTATATCCTTTGATGTATCCTACAAACCTCACACGTGCTATAGCAGAGCTGAGGTGCACAGGTAGAACAGGAAATGATTGAGAGGCAGGGAAGCAGAATGAGTCAGCAGTGACAATTCAAATGACAAACCCTTAACCATTCAAGGACCTTGCATCTGGAAAGAGAACAGACCATGAACCTTCCATGTCTACTTTTTTAATCAAAAATTGTGAATTAGGGCTTCCCTGGTGGTACAGGGGTTAAAGTCTCAGTGTTATCAAACTAATGCCTGTCACTGCAGCATGAATTCAATCCCTGGCCAGGAAGCTTCCCACATGGTGCAGCAGACCTCTCCAGTCTCAGCTGCTGCTCCTCTCAGCAGTGTATTTCAGTAGATCTGCCTGTTCTGCTCTATTCCCCTCCCCACCATACATCTGGCCTCCACTCTAGCTCTTGCATGCATAAATTAAAAAAAAAAAAAAAAGAATTGTGGATTTTAAAATAGAATTAAATGCCACCTAAATATCTGTGGCTTCTTGAGTAATTTTTAAAAATAGCATACTCAACCACCTTTTTCTAAATGCACAATTTACAAGTCAAGGTTAAGCAAAAGTTTTCACTTCATTGGGAAGACATGAGTGGCATGAACAATATCCTCTTTAGAAGTCCTTAAATTACAGCACAATTCAAAGCAAACTTAAGCATTCTGTTATAAAAAGTACAAGGATACTGTGACAACAATTTTCATTACAAACCCCCAAGTTTTCACCTAGTATATATATTCTTGTCTGACTTCTGGAGGCAATTTTATATATTCTGACAGGTTAAAACATTTTGATCACAATCATGTCAGAACTGACAAACATGACTAAGGCACTGCTGGCAGCGGGGAGCCAGGAGGCCAGGGTGTGGTGACACAGGTGAGATAAGAAGAATGAATGGAACAAGGTACATTTGGCACCTGTTTTGCAAACAAAGGCAAATATCAGATTCTGTATCACCCTTCTCCCAGGCTGCCCAAATGCTAGCAATAACCTTATACCCACAGGATATTTTTCAGGTCTTTC